GCGTCTGGGCATTCCAGGTGCAAACGCGAAGCGCTTCGGAAATAATAAAAGGTGTGCTGGCCTCTCTTGTGCCAGCTAGAACAGTACTACCTACCGAACCCCCAGTAGGCCAGGAACGTTGAGATGACAAGGATGCCGTTGCCGCAGCACTGCTCTGCGAGGATAATGTCTGTGAGGTAGGTGCTGAGGCCGACCCCGACGATGTGGAACTGGTTGTTTGCGACCCCTCGCAAGCGTCAGCACCAACTCCGTCTGGCCAGGGCATCTCTCTCTCCGAATCGTCCTCCGATGAGCGTGACGTTTGTGTTTCCTAGATATAGAGCGCCCGCATCTCGACATCCTCCATGATGCTCTCCAACTTTGCCGGGTCGAGGCCAAAGTATCGGCAGGTGTCCTCGTCAATGTCAAAGGTCCCCGCAGCGTGGTTGACTTCATTGTAAGTAATAAGTGGCCAAACATCTTCTCCATTGGACCAGTGAATCGATCCTTTGTAGCCGTTGATGATGGGCTTGGATCCGATCGTGTAGCGCTGGCTTCCCTGGAAGAGCGCGATGATAGGATCCCACACCTTGCTGAAAGCCCTCTGCTTGGCCCGCACGTCCTTCGGGAGGTCGGTCCTGGCCTTGAGGGTGGTGAGCGCTCCGTCCCGCGGGTCCATCCACTGGATGTTGGCGGCGTTGAAAGCGTCCGTGAATTCCTTCGCTAGCGGTTCGCTGGCGAAGGTCAGGCTGAAGCTCTGGCTGATTCTGTGGAAATGCGGCGTGACATTGTTGAGCATGACGTCGGACATCACCTGGTCCTTCCAGCTCTGGAAGTGAGCAGTCCGCATACTTGCTAGCAGCGGCCTGGGATATGTACCGATCCAGCGTCGTGCATTGTTGTGCTGGTACGAATTGGAGCCCTGCGAGCCACTCGTGTGGGAGCCCACGTCCGAGTCGATCCGCCTGGTTTTGACACGCGGTCCTCCCAGTCGATCTGCCCAGGAAGAAGACGCCTGACCAGATCCCGAGGCTGTCGACGGTGCAGTTGATCTTCCACTCTGCAGCACAGCGATGGCGTCCTGGTGCTCCTTGAGCTGCTGGTGGATCGCGGCGATGTGCTGGCTCTGCGCTTGGATGCTGCTGGTCGCCTCCGCAAACTTGGCGTCCATAGTCGCAGTGACCGCTCCGACAGATGCTGCAATGCTTGCCGTGATCTGGTCGGTCAAGGTGTTGATCTTCGCCGTCAGAGTAGCTTCAATGGTTTGCTGCACCTGCCCGAGCGCAGCAACCACTTCCGCGGACATGGCCGAAGAGAGATGGGGGAAGTGCGGCCCGCTTGGCCGAAGGTGTAGAATGAAAAAGTGTCCGCCTGATCACGACAATCAGGATGGGCCCTGTGGATGGGGCTGCCCACTCAAGGAAACCTTGAGCCAAAATGGCAACGGAGGAGGAGGGGGAGGAGGAGGAGGAGGAGGAGGAGGAGGAGGAGGAGGGGCCCTCCCTGGAGCGCCACACGCGCGGCGGCCGGACGCGTCGGCTCCCTCCGGCCGCCACGCGGCGCCACGCGGCGCGGCGAAGCCGACCGCTCGCGCTCGGCCCTGGCGAGGCGCGGCGTGCGCCGCCAGTTTGGCAGCGCACCAGGCGGTGGAGGGAGGGGGGAGGGCTCCTGAGAGGGAGGCTGCTTCCTTAGAAGGCGCCGGCCTCACATCTGTAGATGTAAAGGCCCGCGCCCTCTGAGAAGCAGGGGGCCTCTCCCCTCCCTCCCCCCTCCCCTCGCCCCCTCCCCCCCTCCCCCCCCCCTCCCCCCTCCCCCCCCTCCTCCTCCTCCTCCTCCTCCTCCTCCTCCTATCTAAGAAGCCCTCCCCCCTCCCCTCACCCCCCTCTGCGCATGGCTGGCCAGTGACCGCGCAGGCGGCCTTCGTCAGGCCTCGTCGCCCGTGCCGGCGCTGTCCGGGCTGCCGGCCCGCTCCGGGCACGCGGCGCTCCCGACAGGAGACGGGCCTCGGGAGCTCTCTTGGCGCGCCCCTGCCAGGGGCGTCCCCTCCCGCCATGCCTCGGCGCCGCCCCCTCTTCGCGGCTCGAGGATCCGCGCGGGGCGCGGCCTCGGGGCCAGCGCGACGCGGAGGTTCCGCGATGGCCGGCATCGATCCTCTATAGGTCCTAGGTTATAGTCTTTGGTTGGTGCGCTTGCTTCTCTTTGCGTTGGAAGCCAGGTCCTAGCTTTGCGGCTGCCATGACAATGGACACTCCGACACTCCCATCATTGAAGTTTGAATGTGTCACACATGATCTAAACACGTTTCAAGCATGTTTTTACATATTTGACACATGTTTGAAACATTGTTTAGACATCTGGGAACTATTTGGCAGCACGCTTCCTCTCCATTGATCGACTTCCACAGTCCTAAGTCAGGATCGGGGAGACGCAAGACCCGGGTACGGGGGACTCGGGTTGGCCCGACGGGGCCAGCATGACAGCGACGAGACCCCGCCTGGAAGTTGGCGCGGCCGCCCGCGGCAAGCCTCCCACGAACACTGCACCGCCCAGAAATCCAGGACGCGCCCGTCGAAAAGGTGCCGGCGAGCCCGAGTGCCGGCGTGCTCGAGCCGTACGCTCCCCGATAGGAGGCGGATCCTGGGAGGCCTTCGCAAGAGCGATGCAAGGGCGAGTTCGCCAGACTCCGAGGCCCTCGAGACGGATTGGGCCCAGGATTGAGCTGGAAGTCAGCTGGATCGAGTGGGACTGTGCTGGATTAGGCCAGCGCTCGGCCACGGATGCAATGAAGGCCCGTCCACCAGAAACCCTCCATAAGAAACCCAACCCTGAGACCCCAGGGCGTCCACTGATTCTCCTGGTGTGGGCACGCCCACGCCTTCCATCGCAACACCATCGAGACCCGAGACCCACGGCACCCTGGAGCGAAGCGAAGCGAAGCGAAGCGAGCGTCCATCCGGCTCCACTTCGAGTAGAGCCGCGCCCATTTGGACGGGACGACAAGAGCCGTAGCCCTTAGAGGGAAGATCAGGGCAGCCTCACGTCAGATTCACGAATGCGTTCTCCATGGCCCGCCACATCGATACGTTGCTCGCTGTATGTATCCAAGATAGATCGTTGATGTCGCCGTGCCTTCTGTGGTAAGACGCCCCCTGTGTGGGACCACACGGTACCCTGGAGGCAGGCAGGGAGCTTCTTGGCATGGACCTCCACTGCATACCAGCGCCGATGCTGCATGGAGCCTCCCGGGAGCTGCGCCCTCGTACTGTGGGGTATGCCGTGGTCGGCGTCGGGGGGGGGGGGGGGGCGACCGGAGGGCCCCTGCGGCGCGGCCTCCTCCTCCTCCTCCTCCTCCTCCTCCTCCTCCGTCTCCTCCTCCTCTCCTCCTCCTCCTCCTCCTCCTCCTCCTCTCCTCCCTCCTCCTCCTCCTCCTCCTCCTCCTCCTCCTCCTCCTCCTCCTCCTCCTCCTCCTCCTCCTCCTCCTCCTCCTCCTCCCCCCCGACAGGCGTCCCGCCGCCGTCGCCGCCGTCGCCGCCGCGGAAGGGCCGCCGAGGCGCCGCCGAGGGGACGCCACGCTGCGCCGAAGTACAGTCGGGGCGTTGACCTAAGGAACCCTAAATAAGGAACGAGGCCCCTTTGCTCCATAAGTTAAACTTCGATTTCCCTTCAAACACCGAAGGAAAACCTGAGGCAAGCTGTGAAACAATCAAGGAACACCGAGCCCCTCCCCAACGAAAAGGGTTCATTCTTCAGGGCCCCGACGGTACCGCCGAGAGGCCGCCAACCCAGACATGCGACGTCTTGATGTTTTCGAAGGCCGTGGGGGCTGGTCCACAAGAAACCTCCCACGCCAAAAAAAAGCCCAACCCTGTGGCACCAAGACGTCCATGGACTTCTGGTGTGGGACCGTCACGCTTCCCATGACAAAAAAAAATCGAAAACCGAGAAACCTGAGGCACCCCGGAGGCAAGCAGGGTGGTTCTTGGTACGGATCTCCACTGTACGAGGTCCCCGGAAGTCCGACCCTTTTTTGCCCCAAGGCCGGATTCTCATCCCCAGTCGTCTTTGGACGGCCGTGGGGCCCGGCGGGGGCTCCCAGAGGCCGAAAAACGGTCACAACCCTCCCGTCGTCGTGTTCTTGCCACGACGCGAGCGCGCCTGGGGGAGGGCCCCCGCACGACGCCGAGCAGCGCCGAAGGGCCACCGAGCACGGCCGCCGAGGACCTGCCCCACGAAGCCGAACAGCGCCGAGCCTGGAGGTCTGACGACGCGAAAAAAATGCAACATGTAACCGCGAAAGGTCGTCAGAACCCCCCCCCCAATGGAGGGGGTGACTAATCATGCTAGTCGGCAGACTGGGGTCCCACCAACAGGGGGTAACTACTTCTTGTTTTCCGAGGCGCCCGCCGCGAACAACCTCCAATAGGGGGTAACACATTACTTTTGTCGGCGGCCTTATTGTCGGCGGCATTATTCGGCGGCATTAGTTTTGTCGGGGTCCCACCAGCAGGGGGGAACTACTTCCTGTTTCCTGCGGCACCCGCAGCGCAAAGACGACGACGACAGCTACGACTCAGACTGCGAATGCGACTGCGGCGACTACTGCCTATGCCCGAAGACCAGTCCTGTTCACCGCCGAGTGAAAAGGGGGGGGCAAAACAAAAGACCCTTGGGTGTTGAAGAACTCGACCAAAGCCGTGACCCCATCTTTCTGCTGCACCTTGGCGGCGCGCACAAGGGGGTGGGGGGAGGGGGGGGGGCTTCTTAGAAGCAGGCTGCTTCTTAGAAGGCGCCGGCCTTACATCTATAGATAAGGCCCGCGCCTTCTAAGAAGCAGGGGTGCTTCTAAGAAGCCCCCCCCCCTCCCCCCACCCCCCTCTGTGCGTGGCTGAGCACTATCGTGCCCGATCGGCCCGTGAGGGCCCCGCCGCCGGAAGCAGCGCCTAACCCCGCCCGTGGCGAGGAGCAGGGCGAGGCCAGGATCTCCGGGCCGAGGGGGCCGCCGCGCGGCCGCCGCGAGCGGCGTCCTGCTTGCCCCAGCCGGCCGTCGGCTCCCCCTCCGGCTCCGCGGCGGGCTCCGGCGCGGCGGGCGCGGCGCTTCTGGCGGGCTCCCGGCGGGAGGCCGCGCCCTGGCCGCGGCGCCGCCGACCGCCCCATCGCCGCAGAATTCTCGTCGCCGCGGCGGCTTAACCGCCATACGGCCGCCGCCGCCAGCGCCGCCGTCGGCGCCGCCGCTGACGCGTCGCCGATGCCGCCGAGGATGGGGGCTGGCGGCGGGCTCCTCCTCCTCCTCCTCCCTCCTCCTCCTCCTCCCTCCTCCTCCTCCTCCCTCCTCCTCCTCCTCCTCCTCCTCCTCCTCCTCCTCCCTCCTCCTCCCTCCTCCCTCCTCCTCCTCCTCCCTGCGGGCAGCCACTGCGGCCCTTCGCCGCCGCCGCCTGCATAATTATCGGCGCCGCCGGTGCCCGCGCCACGGCCGGCAGCGGCGCCGACGGCTGCAACCGCGGCGCCGTGGCCGCGGCCCTTCGCAGGCGAGCCGGGCGCCGCCCAACAGAATTCGTTGAAGGGGCCCTGGGACACACAAATAAGTACACGCAAATAAAAAGATTCCTCATATTTCCCCATATTTACTTGGTTTTTGTCTTCCCCCCCACTTCCCATATTTTCCCATATTTTCCAAAGAATCGCCGATTAATTGTGTATGTGTGTTTCTGTCCCTCCTGTGCCGGCCAGAGTTCCGTAGCTTTCGGCCTCTGGAGGCTTACGGTGGGGGCCCGACCACAAGAAACCTTCCCAACCCCGAGACCCCAGGACCTCCATCGTTTTTTGGTGTGGGAGCGTCACGCTTTCCGTGGCAAGACCATCGAAACCCAAGGAACCAAGGGCACCCTGAAGGCGAGCAGGGTGTTTCTTGGCATGGGTCTCCACTGTAACCAGCAGCCGCCAGATGCCCCTGGGACGTCAGTCAACCCCCGTGAGCCCGCGTCACGGACAACTGGCAGCATCGGACGAGAGGTGCCGCCAGCGCCGCCGTGCCGCCGTCGAGGACCTCGAGGGTCGAGGAGCTGTCCAGGATCGAGGGCCGATCGAGGGTCGAGCCTCGAGGGCACCGCCGCCGCCGACGCCGCCGAGGGCCGAGGGCCACCAGGACCGAAGAGCTCTCCGGGATCGAGGGCCGATCGGGGGCCGAGCCTCGAGGGCACCGCCGCCGCTGGACGCCCCCAGCCCTCGAGGCTCGGAGCGGCGGCCGACCACTGCCGACGAGGCGGCCGCCGAGGCGGCCGCCGAGGGGATCGAGAAGCAGCGCGCGCGGACCGACCGAGATCGGAAGCCTCTCGGCGCGCTCGGTCCTTCTTCGTGGCGGACGAGAAGGGCGGATAGACCAGGAGCGAGCGTTATACGCATTCGCCTGGGAGCCTCGTCGTACCCATACCTCCTCCCGTTATGGGAAAACATCCCGGCAACGCAACCTAACAGCGATGTGTATAAGCATATCTGGAAGCATTCCCCTTAAGATTCACCTTGTCTCAGCTTCGGCCTGCCTCGGCCTCATCCTCAGCCTCAGCCTCAGTCTCAGCCTCAGCCTGCCTCGGCCTGAGCCTGCCTCGGCCTCAGCCTCAGCCTGCCTCAGCATCAGCCTCAGCCTCAGCCTCAGCCTGCCTCGGCTTGCCTCAGCCTCAGCCTCAGCCTGCCTCGGCCTCAGCCTCAGCCTCAGCCTGCTTCAGCCTCAGCCTGCATCAGCCTCAGCCTCAGCCTGCCTCAGCCGCAGCTTGCCTCAGCCTCAGCCACAGCCTCAGCCTCAGCCTCAGCCTGCCTCGGCTTGCCTCAGCCTCAGCCTCAGCCTGCCTCGGCCTCAGCCTCAGCCTCAGCCTGCCTCAGCCTCAGCGCCTCAGCCTCAGCCTCAGCTTGCCTCAGCCTCAGTCTCAGCCTGCGTCAGCCTCAACCTGCCTCAGCCTCAGCCTCAGCCTGCCTCGGCCTCAGCCTGCGTCAGCCTCAACCTCAGCCTACCTCAGCCTCAGCCTGCCTCTGCCTCAGCCTCAGCCTGCCTCGGCGTGCCTCAGCCTCAGCCTCAGCCTGCCTCGGCCTCAGCCTGCCTCGGCCTCAGCCTGCCTCAGCTCGGGCAATCAAAATATGGCACAGGACTGGTGTTCTGGGAACACGAAAATCACGAAATGGCCCACAGTTGGCTCGGGGCAATCAAAATATGGTACAGGAATTGTGTTCTGGGAACACGAAGAGCACGAAGTGGCCTACAGTTGGCTCCGGGCATTCAAAATGTGGCCTGGGAATCGTGATCTGGGAACTCGAAGAACACGAAGTGGCCTACAGTTGGTTCCGGGCATCCAAAATGTGGCCTGGGAATGGTGTTCTGGGATCACAAAGAACACGAAGTGGCCTACGGTTGGCTCCGGGCATTGAAAATGTGGCCTGGGAATGGTGTTCCGGGAACACGAAGAACACGAAGTGGCCTACAGTTGGTTCCGGGCATCCAAAATGTGGCCTGGGAATGGTGTTCTGGGAATGGATTCCTAAGGATTCCTAAGGATTCCTAAGGATTCCTGGGGCTGCCGGATCTGTCCGGATCTGTCCGGATCTCGCCCAGACCCCCTCTGGGGCGTCAAGATTCTCTCTTTTGAGTTCACTAGAAACCTATCAGCAAAAGCTGTTAGGTAACAAGACGGGAGGTTGTTCGCTATTTTCGGCCACCAGGGGCCCTCATTGGGCGCCAGGACCGTCAAGAAAGACTCAGGATGAAATACCAGTCTTGGGAAGGGGTCGAAACCCCTGGGGGTCGACGCTGGGGGTATGGGTAGACATGGGCGACCAGAGGCTCTGGATACGTGTGTTGCTCTCCATGGGGCTGGGCTGTTCGCCCTTGTCGTCGCCTCCGACTTCTCTCTGATGGGACGAGAGGGGGCCATGGTGAGGGCATGTTTCCTCACCTCATGAGCGCGGACGCTCTTGCTGGCATTGCATTCAGCGCCGAAGCAGGGGTGAGGCGCCACCTGGGACGGACACGCGGCCCATCCGCCAGGCCGTGCCACCCCCAGAGAGCATTGGATTAGGAACTATCCGAGAAGGAGCCCAGGGTCTGCAAGATGGTGGTACACCGCTTGAGGCGTGGCCATGGACGTCAGTGCCGCCACGCGAGGCGAGGAACCTTCCAGGGCTGGAAGCCTCCTGGGCACACCCCCTCCTCCTCCTCCTCCTCCTCCTCCTCCTCCTCCTCCTCCTCCTCCTCCTCCTCCTCCTCCCTCCTCCTCCTCCTCCTCCTCCTCCTCCTCCTCCTCCTCCTCCTCCTCCTCCTCCTCCTCCTCCTCCTCCTCCTCCTCCTCCTCCTCTCCTCCTCCTCCTCCTCCTCCTCCTCCTCCTCCTCCTCCCTCCTCCTCCTCCTCCTCCTCCTCCTCCTCCTCCTCCTCCTCCTCCTCCTCCTCCTCCTCCTCCTCCTCCTCCTCCTCCTCCCCTCCTCCTCCTCCTCCTCCGCCTCCTCCTCCTCCTAAGGGGCGGTTCGCAAGTCCGTTCCCGGCGCCAGAGAGCCAGATGTGCGTCCGCGTGTCGAGGAACGTGCGCCCGGCGGCAAGGCCGAAACGAGCGGCACGCAGCAAATTTGTCGGAACCTTCCCTGTGCCAACCCCTCCTCTTTGTCGGGGGCGTCCCAAAAGAGGGGCTCAAGGGGCCCAGGGACACACAAAGGAATACACACCAATCTCAGGATTCCCAATATTTTCCCGGATTTTATGGGGGTTCGCCTTCCCCCCCCCACTTCCCATATGTTCCTATATCTTCCTGAGGATTGACGGTTCATTGTGTCTGTGTGTTGTTTCCCCTCCTGACGGGCGTCCTGGAGGGGGGTCGCGAACCGTGGCTGGAGGCACTCGTGCGGACGAGGGGGGAGGGGAGCAGGGGGCCCATGACCGAAGACGAGGAGGCGGCCACGAGATCCGGGGCGACAGCCTGGCTCCCGCCAGATGCTGCCCGCCCGCCCCCTCATCACATCACCCCGCCTTTTGAAAGCCCTCCCCGGCGGGCCCCCTTAGACACCACCACCACCACCGCCACCACCACCACCGCCACCACCACCACCACCGCCACCACCACCACCACCACCACCGCCGCCGCCACCACCACCACCACCACCACCACCACCACCACCGTCACCGTCTCCCTCGCCCCATCCACTCCCCCAGGAGAGAGGAGAGGGAGAGGAGGGCAGAGGAAGGAGGAGGTATCGACGTGGTGGCGCATATGCTTGGGACCCACACCCCCCCACTTCCTCCCGACCCGACCCTCCGGGGCGCGGCCCGCCGACGCCGCCAACGCCAACGCAGGCGACAACGCCATCGTCAACGGCAACGTCGGCGCCCTCGTCGAGGTCGCCGTCGCCGCCGCCGCCGCCGCCGCCGCCGTCCTCGTCGCCGCCGTCGGCGTGGCCCTGCTCGCTGGTCGTGCTCGTGGCCGCGTCGGGGCGTGATCGCTTCCGCCGTGGTCGTCGAGCAAGACGGAGCCAATGCATCGGGACTCTCTGAGGCCTGGCAGATCCGGAAGATGTATCGGGCGCCGCGAGAGCTCCATCCCTGTCCCAGCCTCCTAGCCCTAGGTCGGGCGTGCCCTCCGACAGGCGGAGATTGAAGGAAAATTGAAAAAGAGCCACGACACAAGTCCAAAAATTGTCGACGATAGTCACGGTATCGTCCCCAGACTATGTTTTGACCATTGTTGAAGGTTTCTCCTGTAGAGGGACACGCCCGACTTAAGCCTAGCCCCGCCCGCTCGAGGGCCCTCCCCTCCCACCCGGAGGCCTCTCGGGGAGGCCCGTGCGGCCCCCAGGCGGCGCTGCCTACCCAGACCCCCGACGTCATGACTTTTTCATGGCGTCGATCCCTGGATGTCCCGACCCATTCCCCGGCACCGGCTTCTCATCCTGAGTCCTGTGTCATAGCCCCCAAATCGCGTAGCGATTTGGGGGCAGGAGAATCTTCAGGGCGAACTGCCGCTTACCTCTCTCTGCCTCTGCGCCCTGTGGCTCTTAGGTGCCTATTGCTGTGCCATCCGACATTGTCTATCCTGGCTGCCGAGCGCTGCGCTGCAGCGGGCGGATCGTCCTCCCTCTCTGCCTCGGTCGGTTGGTTGG